ACATTTTTAACAGAAAATCTGCCAGTTATTACAAAAGGAAATAAAATGGAAAATTACCCTAAAAGACATTTCAAGATTCTCTCCACCCCAGATATCCATTCCTGCATCGTATGTTCCTATCTCTTCAAAGTAGTTTCTGTCAATAGAAAATAAGCCACCAGCCATAGTAGGGGTCCTAGTTGAAAACAAAAGAAAAAGGGAAAAATGGAAAAGGAAAATATTTTTTGAAAGATACTTTGTGGAATTTAAATAAAGTGATACTGTAGCACATATCTTCCAAATATATATAGACAGAATTATATTTCATTTATCAGAAGTTGAAGGTGTAGTATTAAGTTTAATAATGTTGAACATTTTCATTTTCTGCCTGTATTCTAAAAGTAGCCAATTCATGCACACATTTAAATTTCCTAAAAAAATATTTCATTTAAATTATAGTAATATAATGTAAGAAATGGAATACTGCATCTTTAAATAAAATCTAAACTTTTAAAAGTGATGAATTACCAAGAACACAATTTTTATAGGCTTATAAATGTCTAGAAACCCCCCCCCCAAAAAGACCAGGTAATAATCATGTATATACAACTGCCAATAATCCAATGCCTGAAAATGTTCATTATTCTTTTTAAAACATTTATATTTAATTTCTATAAAATCCTTTTAGAAATGTATACATTCTGCCAAGCGCACAGATTTTACATCAGGACTGCATTACTGAGGCATTAGAATAAGGAACCTGCTGTATTCCATTTGATTGGTTTGATTACTTCATTCTTCTGAACAGTAAAATATGCATTCTAAAATCAAAACTGCACAGCAGAGGATGCAACTATGTCCAACTTTAGTCAGCTGATTTTTATTGAATTCTATTGATTTATCAAACTATATCAGGCACACATTTTGATGAAGCAGCATGTTAGAATTTTTTGCTATGATACAGAGAGAATTTGCTAAATAGAAATTGTTTAAAGAAGCAGGGTGAATAATCCCTCTGGTCATAAAGGGAGGAAATGTGTTATATTTCATTACTTTTGATAGTACCAAGAGAAAACTTTCATTTACAAACATACAAAAACTCATGCACAGTGACAAATGCCCCACACTTGTGTAAAAGATTAAAAAATAATTTATATGAATTATTCAACGGATTTCAGTGAAACAGATTCTCTTGAACTACTACATTCCATGTCACCCAAACAGATTTCTTTCAAGTCAATTCTGCTTTGAATGTTCTCCCTGGCCTCCAGAACAGACTGGACTGAGGGAGAAAGGAGAGGAACTTGTTCTGTCAGCAGGTAGATTGCGCTGGAGACATTTCTTTGAGGCCATGCTTAGAGCCTACTCCAGGTTGGAACTGCTGGCCCTGCGCGATTCCCCCCTCGCGCAGGTATGGCCCAATATAGTTTCGAGGGCCATCCTCAATGACGGGGTATGGAGCCCCCAGAGGTGCATAGCAAAGGGAGATCGGAAGAGGAGGAAGCTGAGAGCTTTCCTGGCGGGTTGTTTTAATAAATTTTTAGGGGGTACGGGGAGGGTTGGGGGGGGCATGGGGGATGCCCCCCTGGGGTCAGGGCCGGGCCTGTCCGAGGGACGCGGCGTCGGAGTGATGGGGGAGGTGGCTGGGGGATTAAGAGAGGGTGGCATGATCAGCACGGTCAGTGGGAAGGGCAGATATGGCGGGAGCAGAGGACCATATCGGGTTTGGGGAGCACACACATGCTGTCTACAAGCTTGTAGGTGCTCCGGTCCTCAGGGCTCTACTCGGTCCCCAGGGAGCTTAGTTCCTCGGGCCCGGGATCACCGGCTGATGTTATGCAACGCCAGGTCAGTGGTGAACAAAGCC